GTTTTCAAGGACAAGGTTTTTGATATTGGCAATGAGAGTGTTTTATGGAGCGCTGGAATGTTTTGATGCCGGTCGGGGGTAGCGAGAAGAGAAAATAGCGCTGGACTTAGGATCCGGGAGCCGAAGGGCAGGCAACGAACAGGTCTAGACCGCCCGACATGACAGCGGCTGGGTTCTCGATTCGAATTTCCTTTTTTCATGGATGGTGTAGGGAACTAAAGAATGGATGCGTTTGGCTTGGCGAGAATTGTTAGGGGGAGTAGTCTTCAAGAATGATGAGTTGTTGTGTCTTCGCACCAACCCTGCCCAGGGGGAATAAAATCTCAACGGAGAAAAAATAAAAAAAGAAGAATTTTGTCTCCCCCCAACCAAGGCGCGGACTCGCGACCTTCGCGTTATAACAGCACGCTTTAACCAACTGAGCTATAGGACCGGTGATTTGATGGCTCAGAGGTAGGGTTGAGCAATTTAGGTATCTTGTCAAAATTGACCACCGAATAAAGCGTGGACAGCACTGGGGGTGACAACTAAGACCAACAAATTTAAACCCGGAATTCAGCTGGGTGCATTTCCTATGAGTTGGATTAATCCGCGGCAATGTTGAGAGGACGGGTATTCACACAACTATGTGTATACAATGTGTTTTGTGCCGGACTGGTTGGATTGGCGGTTGCGGCGCACTCCCATCGCGGGGTACATCAGCTGTAGTGGCACGTTGGGTGATTCAGATAAGATAATAAAGGACTTTGGAAGCTTTCCAGCAAGCACGTCCGCATGTCGAGTAACAATGTTTGTAAAGGTATGAACGCGGAACTCGAGAGTAAGGATGATGATAGTCGTATCATCCATCGTCGGGCCGAATCAATATAAGCCTCAGACGACTTTCCGCGCGAGGGCGGCATTGGGCAAGGCAAAAGCAAAGGATGAGGCTCCCCAAGTGAGGCCGCATCTTTGCCGTCATATTTGCACATAAATGGTTGAGCCATCGGATGACCCGCTCCTTCAGGATCGGCTTCTCTGGCTTAGTTTAGGCTCCGTCAAGGCTGTTTTTCCATTCGGTGTCTACTCACACTGCTTGCCTGGTTTCTCCCCATCTGCGACGACCCGACAGGCTCCAGCCGTAGCGCTCCCTGCTGAAAACGGGATAGGCTGGCAATCGAAGACAGAACCTGGACAGCCAACTGGCTAGCCCGGAAGGAAAGAAAGAGCGAAACAAAAGGAAAGAAATTTTTAATGTCACTCGTTCTTTTCACTCTGTGATCTTCTATCAAACCTCACCTATTTATTTGTGCTGTCCTCTCACATACTCTCTCTTCCTTGAAATTGGAAGTTCACAAAGAAACCAGACTGCCTTGTTTGTCTTGTCCCTGCTGGATGAAAACTTCAACTTGAGCTTTGTGCTATATCTGTTGTCTCTCCTGACACAGAGATCTAGAGAGGGATTTACCAGGCCTCTGTCCGGCTACAATCAGAGCCTGTCGGCCCTCTCTTGTATCACCCAAACATATTCTTCACTGTGTTTTGATTTGTGTGTTCATTATTCCAATCTTGGACTTTCGCCCTGGAAACATCCAAGAAAACGAACGCAAGATATCATAAAAACAACTCAACTCTCCGCCACACCTTGCTTATTCCCTAACCTTAGCTGGAGCACATCTTTCTACTTTACTTCGGTTTCTTCTTCCCTCCGCTAGGAGGTCTCTGCTGCGGGGTCCTCCCGTTGTAAGCAGTCAAGTTGCTCTCGCAGCAAACAAAAAAAAAAAAAAAAAAAAAAAAAAAAAAAAAATTGAAAAACAATTGAAAAAAATGTCTAACCAAGCGATTTTACGCATTGGCCGTGTATGAAACATCCCTCCCGCTCCTTTCATGGTTGGACGGGTCCTGCATGGCTCGGGTTTTTCGGATCTCTAACGGGCTTGATGATATGATTAGGAAATCAGTCAGATCCAGCATGGCACGGACTTGTGTAAGTCTCATGTTCACTTTGTTTTACTTTATTTTAGACCGTGTAGTGATGGTGATGCTTTATGGTCTCCACAACGCTGTACTCACTCGAATTGTTTCAAAAAATACTTACACGTGTGCTATCCATTACAGCTCTTGCGGTAGCCTGCAAGGAAGCAGATATACGTAGCATCAAGGCCCTGATCGTTGGACCCCCTGAAACTCCATATGAGTTTGGTTTTTTCGAGGTTTGTACATGTGCCTTGTAGCCCAATATCCATACATCCATTTGATTACATACGGAACCAACCTTGGAAGTTGCTGACAGATCGCCTGCAGTTCTCGATCAGGTTCCCTGAAGGTTCGAGTTGAATTTCATCTTTCTGCGTGTTTGTGCATACACATGATGCCTGTCAAATACTGAGGTAGCTTTTTTTTTCGTATTGTGATCTAGATTACCCTGGAACTCCACCAACGGTTCATGCTACAACCACAAATGGCGGCAGATGCCGCTACAACCCAAACATCTACGCTTCTGGGAAGGTTTGCTTGTTAGTAATAACTATCTCATTGAATCGAAATCTTTTATATACTCTGTTTTGTGCTTGACTGACGAAGGGAGTTATCTATCTATTATAGGTCTATACTAGGGTAATGTTCTGCTTCATAAAGCCGTTGTTTTTGTTGAAGCAATTTTACTGAATCTGAACAAAGGACTTGGCGCGGTGAGAGTGGAGAGCAATGGTCTTCGGCCCAAGGCTTGGAATCTGTCCTTATTTCCATCCAAAGTTTGATGTCCTCTAACCCCTATGAGAACGAACCTGGCTTTGAGAACGCCGGCTCTGATCGGGACAAACAAAACATGGCTCATTATGTTGCCAAGGTAACTGCACAGCGATACGCGCAGAACAAGCCATTATGCTCTAATTATCTAACGGTTTATCTTATCTAGATTCGCCACGAGACTCTGCGCATTTCAGTTATCCAACGACTTGAAGAGTTTCTTGGTATTCAATCGGATGGAACGATTTTCCCCCCATGCCCTCCTGGGTTTGTTGATGATGAGGAAGAAGAAGAGGACCGCCTGACTGGAGAAGATGACCGCTCAGCTTTTGATCCTTTCGAAGATCTCCTCAAACGCAGATTTCTCTGGTACTTCGAATCCTACATTGTCGCAATTGACGCTGCAGAGCCCGAAGTCACGCCATCGCAGATATTCAAAAAGATGCCCTTTGAAAACCCTGGCAACTCCATGGATGGCCGTTTCTACTATCCAGACCTTCGGAAACGCCTGATATTTATCAAAGAGACGATCACAAATGAAACGGAGGGTTGGGCCGCGGAGGGCATGAAAGCGAAAGTCAAGGAGACTAGAATTGCAGTCAACCTCCAGCGCCAGTATGAGCAGATCGTTGAGGATCTCAAGAATAGGAAAAACTTCATGATCGACCTGGGCCTCGAGAATGGGAATCCGTTCCTCTGGAACGTGACTTTCTTTGGAAAACCCATGACGCAGCTGGACGGTGGAATTTTCCAGATCCGAATCTGCCTGAGTCCCAAGTTCCCTGATGAACAGCCGCGGGTTGTTGTTAAGACGCCACTCTTCCATAATCGTATTTCCAAGGATGGGGTGTTGTGCTATTTCCCGAAGAAGTTGGAGGAGATGAAGTCGCATGTCGAGGCCATTGTGGAGGCCCTGGAGGATGAGTCCCCGCCCTATGACCCGCGTACGACTGTGAATCCAGAGGCGTCGAAGTTATTCTGGGGTTCTGCGGATGATAAGAAGAAGTACAATCGGCTGCTAAGGAGATCTGTGCAGCTGAGCGTTGAGTGAGTTCCTTTATTTTCTTATTTTGCTGTTTATTTTGCTTTCTCCGAATATCTTGTGTCGTATGGTTCCGACATTAGTGCTAAAAGATTTGTAATTGATTAATAGGGAGTGCTGAAGTACATAGCTCGAGCTGCTGGTGGCCGCCAGGTTAGACAAGTCTCTTTTTCCTGAATTGGTTTCATAGTAGAGATCCCCCCTTTTGCTCGCCCTCATTTTTCGCAGAGACAGTGTATTCCCTCGCATATTTCAGGCTTGAACTCGTTTAGGTTTTAATAACTATGTAGCAGGATTTCTCTCTCTCTCTCTCTTTTTTTTTTTTTTTTTTTTTTGCACTTTTCTTTTCTTTGTTTCTAATATGGGATGCGTTTTGGTAATGGGACTTCTCTTATTTTATTCTCACAGAAGCGACTTTTCTTTACATGTTGTCTTTCTATGATATTTTCTTTTGTGTTTGTTTTCTGGCACTTCTGGCACCAATGGTTCCTTAGTTTACTAGTGGTTTTTAATGGAAGCTTGTTTATATCCCCCAACGAAACTCTTGTGTCTCGGATTACCAAAATTACACCGCCCTCTGACGGGATCTTTCCACCTGCACCGAGCTCCTTCAGCACATGTTTAATATCCAACAATTCTAACCCGTTGAACCTCCTACTTTCCTTCTTTTTTGTTATACCGTATATCCAAATGCATCATCTATAGCATTGAACATATCTCACATAATTCAGCTCTGGTGTGGCCCCAGCCATTTCCCCACCCGCTGGGCGTCTCGTCCCCTGAATTTTCCAGGATTGAATCAGGAGAAAAGAAAGGAAAGAAGATAGCCAGCCATGGCCACCCTGAATACTCTTGAGCTGGGCTCCGTCCTCGTAACAGGCGGCTGCGGCTTCTTGGGCAGTCACATTGTCGATCAGCTCCTCAATTTTCCTTCCGAGGCCAACGCCAGCAGCAACAGTGACAGCACACAGGATCGAATGATCCCAAGCCGGGTCCGCAAAACCAATGGCGAGCCAGACACCCGCTTCGCCGTCCCTCCGCTCTCCAACCGCTACCCAACCTACAAAAACACTAAAGTTTCCGTCCTCGACTTGCGCACGGTGCACAACCGCTACCCCGGCGCAGATTACTATGAGGCTGACATCATGTCCGTCGAGCAGCTGCTCGAGGTGTTTCGGAAGGTGAAGCCGGATGTTGTGATCCATACTGTCTCTCCGCCGCCAATGCAGTCGATGCCGGAATTGTTGTATCGCATCAACGTGGATGGGACGAGGAATTTGCTGGAGGTTGCGGGGGGTTTGAAGGGTGAATGGGGCGGCGTGTGTAAGGCATTTGTGTATACAAGCTCGTCGTCTGTGGTACATGATTGCCATAGCGATTTGATTCGGGCGGATGAGAAATGGCCGTTGATCACGGGGAAGTTGCAGTATGAGTATTACACAGAGACGAAGGTGGGTCTTGAGTTCTTTCGTTTTCATTTTTTATATCCCCCTTTCCACTCTCTTTAGTACGATATGAATATCGATTTCAACTCTAAAACATATTATTTTGTTCCAGGCCCAAGCCGAAACTCTAGTCCTGAACTTCAACAAAGCCTCCCCAACAGGAATGCTGACCACCGCCATCCGGCCCGCCGGTATCTACGGTGAGCGCGACACGACCCTCACCAAAGGCCTGACCGACCATGCCCGCAAATCCTCTCCATTCGTCCTCCGATTCCAGCTCGGCAACAATGACAACCTTTTCGATTTTACCTATGCAGGCAACGTCGCTTACGGTCACATGCTCGCAGCCCAATACCTCCTGGCCACCTTTAAACGTCTAGAATCCGGGGCCGCATCACCGCTGGACCACGAACGCGTCGACGGAGAGGCGTTCAACATCACCAACGACAGCCCCGTGTACTTCTGGGATATGGCGCGGAGCGTCTGGGCGCTGATGGGCAAGATAGTTGAACCTGAGAAGGCGATTGCGCTGCCGGAAGGGGCTCTAACAGTTGTTGGGGGATTGTTGGAGATGATGTTTGGGCTGTTTGGGAAAAAGCCGCGGATGTCGAGGAGGGAGGTGCGGTTCTCGTGTATGACGCGGTATTATTCGTGTGAGAAGGCGAAGAGGCGGCTTGGGTATATTCCTGTTGTACCGTTGGAGGAGGGCGTGGTTAGGTCTGTGGGGACGGTGTTGGAGAGGGAGCAGGCGTCTGAGTCGAAGAAGGATTTGTAGGATTTTCTCTCCCTTTCTCTTGTCTTTAATTTTACTTTGTAATTTTATTTATTTTTTACTTTTTATTCTTATTCTTCTCATTGAACTTTTCTTTTACTGTGAATTTTTTTCTAAATTAGATGATCAAGTACTCCGTAAATTCTATAGCTATAGTTGGTTGTATTCCCCTGACTACTTATTTACCGCTACTTTCTATGGAAATTGAGGGTATATAAACAACATTGATATGAAAGAGATCAATGGAATACAGCTCCTCTATTGTTAAATATATTATACAACTGAATTTAATGATCCAGAGCGAGCAAAGCATGCTTGTTTCTTGCATGATTTATACACTCTAAGACTCAGTTAGCACTCCTTATTTCCACGACAATTCGGCGTTACCAATCTTACACACCGCGTACCGTTTCTTGGCAGTGCTTTGTGTTGTGCTGCCTGGAACAACACCAGCGGATACAATACCGTACACCTTGTCCTGCTCCTTAATCTCGCACATTCAGTTGACTGTGTCTGCGCTCGAGTGCTGTGGTTCAGATATGCTGGTCGTTATGTCTTCCTCTTAACTACTTCGTTGTATATCTATTTACCTTATATTTGTTGAGACAGTGTTCCCCGACTAGTTTCGTTTCATTGTGCTTCCCCGCGTCCTACTCAGCCATCCTTCGCCTCTACTGATCTGCCGTGGGCATTATTCCAATAAGTTACCTGGCTACAGGCGGGACCTACACATAAACCTACAGATAACCTGCAGGAATCTCGACCGTTAGGTGGATGGACTTAGCACCATCCATCGCCTTGTGACCTCTTCTGTTTCATTCAGAGGGGGAGCGACACTGCTCGACTTCGTCTAACAACGAGCAAGGGATCCAGAGACGACGAGGAATTCGAAGAACAATCCTATGCGTAGGAGACATATCAGCGAGAATTGAGACATTAAGAGGCACAAGTGAGGAGAAAAGAAAAGGCAGCGTTCCCTCAGCAAACCCCTTCGTTTGCTAGCTGCTGAGATCATATCTGTAACCCGATCGATCAGATCCCTCGATCCACCCATTTACCGGGTACCCTTCAAAACCTTCGATTAACTTGGCCTATCCATATTTCACAGCTGGCAACGAAACATCAAACGATTCTACGCCCATTTTGCTTGCGACCTTCTTTTCCGTTATACAGTGTTTTCCTGCTCCGTCAGCCCTGGGCTCAATGCTTGTCATGGATAGTTGATGCACACGGATGAGGCTATAACGCTGCTTCCGGGCACCGCTTTAGCCGGCCTGGTCAGAGGCAGTCCTCTCTTGCTGTGATTCCATCATTTCCTATCTGCCTAACTTAATACCTATCTCATTTCCGTTGGGCCATCCACTCACCCCTCCTCCGTGTGTCCCCGCAGAGACACAGCGGCATAACCACCCCGCCCCGCGCGACACACCAACAATCTACCTACCCTGACGAAAGAATTGTACTTCATCTATACGAATGACTGATAGCTCCCAATACTACCCCTTATTCACAAGGAATTGAAAAGTTACAACAACAGGCCCCCTTGCCATATATAGTCTATTTTGGTCCACAATGGCTGACAATGGGCCCGAAAAAACTGCAAACCCCTCTCCCAACGCCTATCGCTTCCTCGCGCCCCCGGCCGTCAATGCTCTCCGTCAGGAAGCTCGCGATACCAGTAGTGGCAGTCCCTCTCCGCAACCAATGTCGCGCACGATCAGCGAAAATATCCGCGAAGAACGCCAAGACCTCAAGGAAGCCGCCGAGCAGACACTGAATGTCATCGTCGATCTCGATCTGGATGGGCGCATTAGGTGGGTTAGCCCGTCGTGGAAGGAAGTGGTGGGCACGAACGTCGAGGATGTTGAGGGTTCGTTGATTTCAGAGCTTCTGCTGGATAATAAAAAGGCTTTTGAGCATGCGATTGAGAGGATGAAGATTGATGATTCGAAGAGTCATATTGTTAGGTTTGCGGTGAGGACTGGGCCGGCGTCATTCCTCAGGCGGGAGACCGGGGAGGCGGAGGGTGTAAGTGAATGGGCGGGTGATGAGGGTGAAAGGGGAGGCAGAGGAAAAGGAGGAGCGGGAGGGGAAGCCGAAGCACATGGGCAAGAGAAAGAGCAAGAGGAATTGACTGATGTTGTTCAGGCCCAGGAGAAAGAGACAAAAAGTGAGAGCGATGAAGACGACCATATTTTGAACCTCGAGGGCCAGGGGATTATGGTTTTTGACCGATCCCCTAGCACAGAGAGTCATGTAAGTATTCTGTTGTTTCATCTTCTATTAGGCTTGGGAGTGTTGCAATAACCAGGTTGCTGATGCTATCTAGACTATGTGGATGCTTCGTCCATCTACCCAGCCGCGGGAAGTTACAATCGATCTTCCCCCACTCCTCGTCGAGTCACTCGGCGTTGGCGCAGAAGTACTTGCCAATTACCTGACCGCTCTCGCGGAAGCTGGATCTCGAGATCCCTCCCATGTACCTTTTCTCCCGCAAGTGCTATGTCGAATCTGCGAACGCCAAATCCCTTCTTGGTGGTTCGAGAAACATTCAGAGCTATGTTTGCAAGAGCATGGGGCGGAGATGGAGGTCCAGATGGCGCAGGACAATTTGAATGAACATCGCCATTCCATCGTTAAGGTCTTGGATGCCTTAGAAGCTCGCAAAAGCAGGTCAGCTTCGGTAGACTCGAGCCCCTTCTCAGGGCCCAAAGCAGAGTATAAGAATTTACCCATTGGACCCTCCATACCTTCCTCGGGCTTGACTTCGGGCTCGTCATCCTCTTCAGGAACACCACCTCTCTCACGTGATCCATCAACGTCAGGTCGAGGGCATGTTCGCACACGCTCTTCTTTTGCTGTTCGACGACCGCTTGCGCGCATCGTGGAATTGATTTTGGATCTTTGTGATACCGCCCTGGAAATTAATACCCCAGCACTTAAAGAAGCGCGAACCGAGGTCGGTGAGGAAATTCGAACACAATCTCCCCAGTCAGAATCTCGGATATCACAGGTTTTGCAGTGGCAATCTCCCAGTAGCAATACTCTTGATCAAGAACAGGGTTTGGCCGCGCTCTCCGCGGACACTGAGCGTTTTGCCCGTGCCAAGGTGGATGCTGTGTTTCGCCATCGTCAGATTGTAGAATATAGTGAGCGTATTCGCGTCGAATTTACAGTTCTCGTTGAGGAGTGTGTTGCTGCAGCGATGAGTAAAGCGGAGCGCATTACTGCTGGGGAACTAAGCGATTCATCGGGTTCATGCCATAGCGTTGTGGGAGATTTGCAGGATGACGGAAAATGCTCAGCACGGTCTCAGGTCCTCGATGCCGCGTCCAACTTGTCTTCCCGGCCATCCTCGTTGCCTGCTCCGTCTGCAATAACTACTACGTTACGAGTCGGCTCAGAACCTCTATTACACTCTGCTTCCCAGTCGGAGAGACCACAACCTTCGTCTGTCGCTGTCTCGACCCGCTCCAGTAGTCCAATGGAGTGCCCAACGCCCCGTTCGCATAGGAGTGTTGGCGGTTTGTTAAGCCAGTCGCAGCAATCTAAGAGAGGCTCGTTACTTGCTGAAAGTGACGCGGGGGATAGCGATAGCAGCATACTGTCATCAGTTTTCGCCGGGGCACGACGGACCGAATCTCCATCTTCTGAACGGGGATTAAGTCGCACCGCAAGCTCCAAGGACCGTAAACGTCAAAGTCTTATATTACCAGGTATGTCAATGTCTCCACGCAGAGAATCCCCCGCCCGAAATCCACCACATTCCCCGCTTCGATTGTCCAAACCGCGGTTATCTATGGGCGAAAGCTTCACATCGCCAATGACGTCGCCGCTGCTCAGTAACTCTGAGCTTGCTACCCAAAATACGCATCCATATTATCCACCACCTCCCCACCATCATCGTAGGTTGTCGTCTGCCACTTCTCCTGACCTGGGGAAGACTCCTGTTTCACCACATCTTAGCTCTGTAAGTCATCCGCCACCCCCACGGGCGGTTGCTCCTTCTATCAAAGACTTCGAGATCATCAAGCCGATTAGCAAAGGCGCATTTGGCAGTGTCTACCTGTCTAAGAAGAAATCAACTGCTGAGTACTTTGCAATTAAAGTCCTGAAGAAGGCAGATATGGTTGTTAAGAATCAGGTTACAAACGTCAAGGCTGAACGGGCGATCATGATGTGGCAGGGTGAGAGTGATTTTGTCGCGAAGCTCTACTGGACTTTCTCGAGCAAGGATTATTTGTACCTTGTTATGGAATACCTAAACGGCGGCGACTGTGCATCTCTGGTCAAAGTTCTCGGTGGCCTGTCAGAAGACTGGGCCAAGAAGTATGTTGCAGAGGTGGTTCTCGGCATTGAACATCTTCATGAGAGGGGCATTGTCCACCGCGATCTAAAGCCGGATAACCTCCTCATTGACCAACGGGGCCATTTGAAGTTAACTGATTTTGGTCTTTCGCGTATGGGACTCGTTGGCCGTCAAAAGCGAATTCTCAAAAACCCGAATGAGCCCGCACCGGATTTACTTAAGACGGGACCCTTTACTCGCGCAACGTCAATGACCTCGTCGCGTTCGGCCTCATTTGATTTTCCATCAACTCAGTCGCCAATCTCTACGCCCTCGATGACTCCCGAGGTTCCTATGCTGATGAACCAACCATCTTATTTCAGCCTGAATAAGGAGCCGCCGTTCAATCGGGAGACGTCGAGACGAGCTTCCGGGCATCGAAGTGATAGCGGCGGTAGTGACAGTTTGACAGGGATGTTTCGGGGGTTTTCATTGTATGAAGGTGGCGATACACCGCATCCCTTGTCATTTCAACCACAGCCGTCATTCCCTCCTCCACAACCACAGGGCCACCTCGCCGAGGAAGAGACTCAAAGTGAAGGAAGCGATTCTCCGCACCTGTTCCCTTTACAGACGGGTGCCAGCTATCCTACATCCTCGGTGTCTGGTCAGCATAGTACTCCGCCTCAGCAATCTTTGATGCCTCCCGCCATGGCCCTTTTCGACCCGGAGGATCATAATCGATGTTTCGTCGGGACTCCCGATTATCTTGCCCCGGAAACTATTAATGGTGTTGGGCAGGATGAGATGAGCGATTGGTGGTCTCTTGGTTGTATACTGTTTGAATTCCTCTACGGATATCCTCCCTTCAACGCGTCGACCCCGGACGAAGTCTTTCAGAATATCCTCAATCGTAGAATTAATTGGCCTGAAGAAGCTGATGAGCTGGTGACGCCCGAAGCAAAAGATCTCATGAATAAGTTGATGACGATTAATCCAGAGGAACGACTTGGTTCGAACGCATCTGAGAAATTCCTCAATGGGGGTGCTGAAGTTCGCGCTCATCCATGGTTCGCGGATATCAACTGGGATACGTTGTTGGAGGATGAGGCGCAGTTTGTTCCCGCTCCGGAGAATCCGGAGGATACGGAGTACTTCGACGCCCGCGGCGCGACACTTCAATCTTTTACGGAGGAATTGGAAGATCAGCTCTCTCCTCCCCCCGCTACAGGAGGACCGGATTATCCTGATAGACCCCACGATGCTCTTTACAAAGTTCGCACGCAGGCGAATTCTCTGAAACGCGGGTTGATGCCGCTCCATATCCCACCCCATGTGCGCGATACTCGAAGTAGACGACTTAGCGAACCTGTTCTAGCGGATGACTTCGGTAATTTTAATTTCAAGAACCTGCCTGTGTTGGAACGGGCGAATAAGGATGTCATTCAGAAACTACGAATGGAGGCCATGCAGGCACAGCAAAGGCAAATCCCAACGAATACATCTGCGTCCAGCTCTGGTCCATCGCTGGAGGGGAGTCCTCTATTACCAATGCCGTTGCAAAGGACCTTGTCGCAGAACAAAGCTACAAATCGTCCAGGATCGCCGTCTAGTCTTAGTCAGGCGAATTCTTCGTCCCCCAGTCGGCTTTCACAGCCTTCATCACCCCTCCTAGTACAGTTTAGTACGGGCCAGCATCATGAACGAAGGAAGACATCCGGTTCCTCGTCATTTTCCCATCAGTCCGGCGGATCACTGCCGCCCGGGAGTTATCCTGAACCTCCACGTTTATCAACCAGTTTTAAGATGATGTCGACTTCTGCCACCTCATCGCCTGTTAAGTATGTGAAGCCGGCAACGCCTTCTCCTGATAAGTCGGGTGGTCCTTCGCAGCCGCGCCAGAGTAGTGCGCCGAATTCGCGATCGAGGTCGCAGACTATTGGTTCTCAGGATAGCGAAGCTGCGCCGTCTAAAGAGCCTTTTGCACCTGGGCACCATAAGCGCCGGAGCCAGTTGTTTGATATTTCACCCTCATCGTCTGATAATGAAGATCCACGAACCAAGGCCAAGGCTCTTCTGAAGGTCCAGAGACGACGGCAGAGTTCCCGACGGATGTCACAGATAAATCTTGCTGAGGGCCCATATTTCCGTCCCCTGGATGTTCTGATCTGCGAGGATCATCCTGTTTCGAAACTAGTTATGGAAAGGTTGTTTGAAAAGCTACGATGCCGCACAATCACCGCTGTCAACGGATCGGAGGCCATGCGCTATGCGCTCAGTGAAGTCCAATTCGACATCATCATGATGGAATTCAAACTACCACAGCTCAACGGCGCAGACGTGGCGCGTATGATCCGCGATACCAAGAGCGTTAATACACATACTCCTATCATCTGCTGTACCGGCTACCTCAAAGACCTTCCGGAAACCCACCACTTCGATGCGCTTATCGAGAAGCCCCCAACTCTTTCTAAACTCACTGAGACCCTACACAAATTTTGCCAGTGGAAACCCCCGCCGAAAGATCACCAGCTCAGCCTCACAGCCCATCATCCCATTCTAGCACCAGCTAGCTCCCGCTTGGCATCCTCAATGATGCCACCAGAAGGCAGCCCAGGCTCCATGTCATCCAGTTTTGTGGCTGTCCCTACAAGTTCCTACCGCGGCTCTAGCCGCGAAGATTCCATTGGCAGCAGCTACTTTGGCGATGTCGAGTCCATGAAACAGGAAGAATTGCCCGTCATCATCAGCCGGCAGGCCACGGATGATTGGGGAAATTCCCAGTGTGGTGGCAGTGGTGGTGGTCTTGGTATCTCTGATGAGCCCAACATCCCAAGATCAGCTCCCATCATCATGTCCTCGCCACCCCAGATTCCAACAGTCCCCCATGCAGCATCCGCCCCCTCAACGGTTCTTTCCATGGCAATGACAACTCCCGCGGCAGGCATGGGTGTGGTTACCCAGCGCAATCAGCCTTCTGTCGAAGACATTCGCACGAAGCGGGAATCACATGGGCGGAGAAAGTATGAAGGCGCTGAATCTGGTGATGATGAGGACGAGGAGCTCGGCATTTCCAATTCGCAGAGCCGGCTAAAGAGTCCTCTGGGTGCCCGGGAGAAGGGAAAGCGCTCTGGATCCAAATTGGGGACGGAGATGATGCGGACAAATAGTCGTGGTAGTGTTGTTAGTGATGCTGGCGAGGTTTTGAGTGGTAATTGTGCTGGGGTGGATGCTCCGGCCTCTACTGCTATTACTCCCGGAAGCACCGCTCTAGGTGGCGAGGCGACACAGTCGTTAGTTGTTGGTGCACCGGGTCCGAGCGTTAACGCCGTGGAGGAAACTCTTGCTGACCTACAAATTGCGGATGATGGGTTGGAAACCTTGCTGGAGGATAGGGAGCAGGAGGAATCATCTGCATTTACTGATCCTTTTGCCACCACGAGAACCACCTTTGTTGTTCAATCACGCCCTCAAATACATTCACCGCCTTCAGAATCTAGAAATGTAGAGTCGGAGCAGGCGGCTTCCGATGCTCTGGGAGAGCAACGACCAGATCCCACTTCTCAATCTCATCCCCTGCACACGACTACATCACAGGTCCCACAAACCCTATCTACCACCCCACCCCTAGTCTCAACATCACTACAAATCACCACTGGGTCCGCCGCTACAACAACAACCCCACCCAACACCACTGAACAACAGCGCACTCCCGTCGTCACCACCAACCCAGCCGATTCTCCTGGTGAAGATGTTACACCGCGCCCCGCGACTTCACTTACGATGAGCGGATTTAACCCAGGAAAGGCGCGTAGTACTCTTGCGCCAGATACATATGGTGCTGCGGCTGGTATTGGTTTGGTCGATCATCGCGTGGCCGATGGCGAGTCTGAAGCTACACCGCGTGCATCCGAACGTGATAAACGGCGCGAGAAAAGTAGGGAGAGGAGGTTGAGGGGGCTGGATTGGATACGCCGGTCATGATATGATGATTAAGACTAGGGTAGAGAGCAGGGTTTGGTTGGGGTTTTTAGTTTGCTCTGTCTACTCTACAATGATCGATACACGGTAAATGTTTATCATCTCGATCTCTAGATCAGCCGTCTTGTGCTGTTGTATTTTTTGTCGTCGCCTCCGCTTTTCTCTTTACAATGCGATTTGTGACGATATATCATGATATGAATTTCATTTCTTTCCTGTTCATTTTTTTCTGCTCTTTATTTTTTTTTTTTTTTGTTCTACCTGGATTCGAATTGGATTAGGTAATTATTGTGATTGCGACTTCACTGGGACTCATGACCTTGCTTTTCTCTTTCTTCTATATATTTTTTCTCCTTTCTGCAACCTCCCTTGTTAACTACCTGTAGCTCTATTGTCACTTTTTCCCTTCTCTTGACTTCGCTAAGTTGGGTTTTGAGAGCTCCTTGTTTTTCTATTTTCTTACTTATATTACTATATAACTTTTATCCATTTATGAATGATTTATGGAACCGGTATGGGTTTATTTGGCGTATTATGCTGCTATCTTGTTGTCCCAAACGACTTAATTTGCTTGTTCTCGACTATATGTTTTCTGTTAAGTGGTTCCTTTCAGCTTCAAGGTAGCTTATTGTGAAGGTGAAGTTAGGCAAGTGGAGATATACGATGAGAAAGGCGAAGGGGCTAAGTAAGGGCAAACAGTCGCAAAAAGTCGTGTTTGAACGGCTGCGAACTGTGTGATGGTAGGATGAATGCTAGCCCTGACCCATTGACTAATTAATTAACTTTGTTTCTTTATGTTACAATATTCAAGAGGACATATATATATACAAGCCGCAATCGCTTGCTTGCGCTCGCTTATCCAGCTTGAAAACCCACTATTTAATCCCTCAAATGAACATAATGAAATATATAAGCAGCTGTATATGACTTGTATAGATGAATTCTATGTAATTTATAACTATTAATAGAGAATAATTTATATGAATGAAAACGATGAATAATATTGTAGTAATATTATAGAATTAATATAGAAGCTTTAAATAAGATATAATTAAATATCAGATAGTTTATTAGACAGAATAAATTGAAATTCCTAAGTATCTTTTGCGCCGATTAGCGGGGCGCCGAGCCCGCCGCGCGCCGTCGTCATTGGTCCGCTTGCTGCGCTAGGCCCGTTGCGGCAGCACCGTTGCCGCTTCGGGGATGGCGTCGCCTCTCGCCGCTTTTGCGCCCTCCTCTCGCCGCTTCAACGGCCGGCTGCTCGATCTATAAAAACCCGTCCCGCGCCCTCGCAACGACCACACACTCTCTCCTCCTCTTTCTTTCCTCTCCCTCTTTCTCTTTCTCTCTCGCTCGCTCGCTCGCTCGCGCCTGGATGCACTGCCCCCTCCCTCCCTGCAGGGGAACCGGTGCCGTCTTACCCGGACCACCTCGCGGGCTGCTGCTTCATTGGTTTCTGAGCCATCCACGCCGCCCCTCGCGGTGTTACTTCGCTTGATCTGGAGTCTAGGCTGCTGGGACATCTGCAGCCATGTTGCAATGGCAATGGCCTTCGCCGTGTTGTACGATCGGCGACTGTGAACCGCAGATTGCCAATGGTTTATTTTAATTTTTTATTTATTTTTATTTTTTTATTTTTAAATTTTTTTTTTTTTTATGGTTGGGTTTTATCCGGTCGATCTGTTCCCCCGTATCTCCCGCACTTTGTTGTCTTGGGCGCGTTTCGTCCGTGGAGATCTGTGCGGAAAAGCAACAGGCGACGATCGATTGAGGCCACGGGGAAGACCGGTGGGCGAGCCTCCTGGAGCCGGAGTGCTTGCTGAGCCCTGAGTGATGGAGGGTTGCATCGCCCTTTGACCCACCAAGGCAGACTGCCTCATTTCCTTTCCCCAGCCAATAGCAAAATTGCCGCACTTCTTTTTTGGCATCGGTGTACGCCTGCAGGTCGACCAAGGCGGGGTTTCGTCAGGATTGCATGCTCGACATGTCAGGGTTGGAAGTGGCGATAGCCATATGCGATTGGTGCAGGGCACCGGTTATCGACCTCCAGGTGGCTTTCAGATGAGGACGGACGCGTCAGCAGTGTCAGGGAAGATTCAGGGATCAGAGGGATTCGCCCGTTGCTTCCTCCCCTGTGGGAGATGGTGAGGCAGCTGAAACCTCTGCGATGAGAGCAACTATAAAGGGTGGCCGAGCCTCCTACGAAATCACTGGCGCTTGGTGATCTGTTTCTCTCGCCCGCGCACGCTCTTCCCCTCAGGCCCAATTCCCACTCTTTCCTACCCAGATGGCCCTCGCGTTTCATGCGAACAACTTCAAGCCGTGGACGCCATGGACGCCGCGGCACCCCAAGTCATTCTCACTGCGCAAATGCCCCAATTCTCGCACCCCAGAATCCAGAAAACCCCCTCCCCCTCCCCCTCCCCCAGCCCCAGCCCCGCGTTGTGATGTCTCCCCCAACACCCTGCTGCCCCCCAAGCATGGCCTTCCTTCGAAGCCGCCGGCCGAAGTTTGCGTGCCTATCAGCGGTAATACTCAGCCGTGCGCGCCGTCGAACTCCCCCTCTCAACCAAGAGAGATGTCCATACCACCACCCAGTTCGGAGAATTCCCGGCATGGCGTATCGTCTCTCTGTGATCTGGCACATCACGCCCGGAATTCGCATCCCACCCGTGCCCTTGATGTACAAGATAATATCTCTGATACGCCGACCGAACTGCCTCCCCTTGGGAGAGGCGCCACAGGGGCTGATTCGTCGTCGCCGAGCATAACCAGCTCAGATGGTAGCCTAGAAGCTTTCTTCAGGCTCCCGGATCTCTAGGACAACATCCCCATTGACCCAGCGATCCTTGCTGACGACGCGCCTTGGGACATTAGTGAACTTCACTAGCCTGTCTAGTAAGGTGATGATCTTGCAAACCCAAAGGCCGTTTATCCATATCCTGAACCTCCCCCGTCTATGTCCTGTGACGCCTCCAACCATCACCAAGGATCCCGAGAGAGGCCTGACGGCTGGAATAGAAATTCTCAAACAGATGATGACACTCACGTTCTGGATCATCGGCAGATTCACCCCGCCCGTTGCGGCACTGACGTCGATGTGCCTTGCTCCTACGGCACGAGCGACGACTTCCTCGGCGACGAACAGTCCAGGAGACGCAAGCGAGGGCCACAGCAACCAGAAGAACCGGCCGCAAAGCGGCTTCGCGTTGCCTCTGCATCGGCTATGGAAGGTTCCTCCACAGCCCTTCGCTCCCATTTCCTGTCGCTACAGCTCGACGAGCGTCTGCAGTTCCTTTCCTGGCTGTTTGAAGGTGCTTTGGCGAGTTGCATGCCCGACTCAGCGCCGGCAATATGGGGAGACGAGTGTGTGCGGCCAACCGGTCGCTCGGCTCCTCACAAGGTTGGAAAAACTCAGCGTGAGCGCGGCGAGGGGAGAAAGGGCCACAGAGACAGGCTGTGGCGATGGCTCCCCGAGGATGACGCACGGCTCCTGAGCATGATAGAGGAGTGCCGACCCTGGCCGGAGATAGAGAGGCGTTTTCCAGAAAGGACGGAATCGGCGCTGCGCCAGCGGGTGTCTACGCTTCGGAAACAAGAGAGGGGAATGCGTACGGCCGAATCCGCCGGTGTCACAGCCGAATCTGCAACCCCGGAGGGTGAGACGTAATGCTAGTCCATGTCCATGTACATGAAAGTGATATCGTGATCGACCATAAGGTGTGGCCTTAAGGTGGCCTCTCCTAGCCGTTCATTAACGGCCCTTGGGTAGGCAGGTGAGGGTAGGGTGGCCTTGAATAAAACCGGAGAAGCCGAGCCCGCCTGTCCATCGCACTGCCATGCGATCCCCTCTTCTACTGTACGCAGCCACAGCCGAATGATACCTACCCTCTTGTCCCTCCCCACGGTGATCCGCATGCGACAGCGGTGGAAGGGACGCCATTGCTGCATGAGTTCTATTTTCAGACTTCGCCCTCGGATATTGTTGGCTGCTGCGCCGTGCTTCAATGCCTGGGGAGAGCAACCTTGGAACCCGAGACGAGCACCTCGTGACTGCCCCCCATTTCTTGGTATATATAGAGGGCTCCCTTCCCCTCCAGATCCATCATTCTTCTCACTCCTAACGGTCCTGGATAACAGCCGGAGCGACATCCCGCATCAACGCCCCTTTCCGCCATCCTGATACGCAAGCTGTACGTCAACGGAGAGGTAAAATCCCGTGACCTCTCCTTCGGCCGTTGGGTATATATATGGCCTTCTCCCCACACTCTAACTCCATATTTCTCTCAATTCCTTTTCCACTCTCCATCCACCGTCGCAAGAAACTCACCGAGGGTTCCTGTTTGCGTGGCCCCAAGGCGACCCAACATCAACGAGCGTTCAGCCATGGCTTCTACCGAAGCTGAACCCCGCAGCACCATCGTCATCAACGACGATACAGATGCAGAGACGGACGCACCTCGGTCCCCGCCGCGAGAGCTACGGAGAAAGAGACGCCTTGTGGACTATAGCCTCCCGGAGTATGAGGCTCTGTTTGATGGCCCAGCGCTCCTCAATTCCTCCGCATCCACAACATTACAGCCGCTGGAGAAACGCACAATGCCCAACCTGAAAGTAGTTCTGGTAAGATCTTTCTCCCAGCCGAGCCGGACTTGCCCTTTGCTGATATTAGGATAGGCGACATCAAATCAAGAAATTCACACCATATTTGAAGCAGAGTCCGCGAATGTCGCTGGAGCTTCATATCCAAGGGCCTAGAACAAGTTAATACTAATGGCAATAGCAATGGGTAAAAACTTACCCAGGCTCAAGATATTTCCATGAAAGGGACCTACAAGAAGAAGTGCAGCGCCTGAAGAAGTGGAACACCGAGCTAGAAATCAAACACCGTGCAGAGCTGATCGGGAACAATGAGGAGATCCGCAGGCTTAAGGCTGAGGTCATCGAGCTGGAGCATCGATGCCAATGCCCAATATGCTATACCATCCCTTCAGAGTGGAAAACCCTCCTGTGCGGACACAGGGTTCTGTCCAGGGTGTCTCTCTCCTGAGCCAGAGAGCTGTGGATTATGTCGTCGAGATTTCACTGGCTATATAAAGAGTTATTAGGTAGCAAATGCTTTGTCTGCAGCACTAGATTCGTACGATCGTAGTTTTGTAATAGGGACATTGGTAGGAGAAAAGGTAGAGAAAACAACGGAAAGTCATTAATCAGCTTAGCACGAAGTTGCATAGCTCACGTCTATTTCCACCTCACACCGGCACTTTGTGATGTTATTTTGCGCACTAGGAGCTCGGGGTATGCATGCTCTCCAGTCATACCAACAAGACGGATCAACTTATGACAACAATGCTTACACTCTTACGTCGACTTATCATGGCGGTACACTCAAGCTATACACAACTCATCTCGCCGAGCCCGAAGGCCTAGGCCGTCGCCCTGAGTATATTATGACCCAGCTCAAAGGCTGGTCGATGACCAGTGACCCGGGAGCCTTTCGGCACGGAGCATCCGCATACCTAAATGCTCGGGCCTTGGCAAAGGAAAAGAGGGACGAATTTATTAGGGCAGCAAATGAAACGCACGCAAAGGCTCAATCTCAGCTTCTTCATTCAACCTCTCAGTGCCAGACGGCTTCCGAGGCAGCTCTCACCTTGGACGACTCTGATCTATCGACATTGTCTGACCAAACAGAGTATCAAGACGCGCAATGGAGCTTCGCAAATACAACTGAAGAAGGAGAGGGAGAGTCTCAGATTCTTAGTAGACACGCTAAGAAGCCGAGAGTTGGCTCCATTGTTCAAGGTGATACAGCGGGTAATAAGACTACTAGATGTCTGAACTGATGATAAATACGGCTCGTCATGAACACGGGGAAGCCATAACCTGCACCAGGGCAGCTTCCCACAAGAATAGCATAATAATGATCGGAGTTTCTTCGCATAACTCTGGAACTTCCCACCGGGGTATGGGCCTTTTTAAATCCACATAAATATAATACAATATGTTCTATATTCGTACAGCCTTTTCCCTTCTAGTTCGCCTAAAATGAGCCACCTATTGTTTGAACGGAGGGACCCAAGCCAGACAACTAACCACTATATTTTGGGGCCTAAACCGTTCGCCGAATATTGTCAAGTTGGCAGGCTGCAACGCATGTTGCATGGTCCGCAGCGAACAAGGTTGAGCCGGTATCAAGCACCGCGCACAAGAATCGAGCACGACCGCTTTTTGCCACTGAAAGCCTACTGAAAGCATGTCAGAGGAGTCTTCCAGGGCGTCCGAGGTGGGCCAAATCAGAAGCTTCACAAGGAGATGGATCTGTGCTGGTGGCATCTCGAATTCCGTCCGCTTCATGGGCAGGTGGGCAGGTGGGCAGGGAGAATGGCTATCAAGATGAGAGGACGCGCACTTGGAACGTGGGTTTGATTTATAATGAGGTGCTGTGATCCTCTACAGTTATCCAAAAATGAAGGTGGCACCACCGGCCTCCCTCTTCACATATCCTGTTAAAAAATAATATCACATAAACCATAGAAAGTTGGGCAAAACGCATGCATCGATATTCAAGTCCAAACCACAGCCATCTGCTTATTTGTTCTTCTTGTTTTAATCGATAAAAAAAGGGCACGTCGGAATTCTAGGAACCAGAGAACGGTAAAGGTGCGGGGAAACACACTGAAGATGCGGACGGACGTGGAGGCGGTGATATAGGCGGTACTTTTGGCAGCCAAATTGACCGCATGTGTTCCGTTATGGATGCTCTTGTGAATTCATAACAGTGCTCAAGCCAAGTTTGCCAGTCCCAGTCAATCCATTCATGGAAATTCGCACGACGGCCCCAACCCTGATCCCAGCGCAGCAAAGGGGATATGGGGACACCAGGAAGGTATTTTGCTTTCCACTCGGCAGGGCTGTTTGAAGGAGTTCGACCAATCCCGCAATATCCAAAGTCAATGAGTACCACACGCCGAAGAGCGCTATCCAGCACAAGAACATTCCTCGGGTGTATATCTCTATGTAATATATCATTAGCATACAGCATAGATTCTGCATCGACAATTGCCTTCAAAATATTTTGACGCTCTGACCGCGTATATTTGGTTGGATTGAGATGTTGCATTGAGATCCCGGGTACTTTTTCGATAAGGATTAACCGAATAGATCGCGAAATTCTTTTATTCGGAATTGGCAGTTCAAGTGTAAAGGACCCATAATATCTTGGAATGATAGTTTCTTCAAGTGGGTAAAGCAGTCGGTAGGCTGCGGTTTCATGAGAGTATGCTAGGTCCGTATAGCGAAAAGGATCCACATCATCTTGTTCATGGTCAAAGTAAAGGGGATCGTAGAGCTTAGCGACTAGATACTTATCAGTTGGTATCGAGTCTGATATATCTGGAGTCTTATCGACCATGTGGACGGTAACAAGTTGAGCACTGTGTTGATCTCCTATTCTCACAGGTCCAACAACCTTTAGTCGAATAGTGCCCTTTCCAGTCAATCCAGACAATGGAGGATGAAGTATGCAACGATCCACAGGATGCGTAGTTTCTCTTTCCCGATGCCCCTCATAAGAGAGGACGACCTCACCTGTTGCGGGAGCAGGAGGAGTATGAGGGTGGATGCAAAACTCTTGCCCAGGAAAGTAAGGTAATGGTGGCTTGGACTTGTTGTATCTAGCACAGTAGGAAGCACTCAGCTGATAAGTCATGGTTGCGAGATTGGAAAATTGGAAAATTAGAAGGTCTGAGAAAGTAGAAGTTGCGGTTGTTAACATCAAAGTGAACAAGCTCGCATTTAAATAAAACGTATTTCAACCCCACTAGTCTTAGACTAACCGGATTGGGGTAACTACTAGACATAGGCAGGAAGACTGTTAGCGTGGCAAGAGTTAGCGCCCAGCTATGGTCTCGTGTGGTACAACACAAGAAGGCGGCGTGAAGAAGAGCAACGACGACGTGAAGAAGCAGAAGCTTTGGCTGCGAGCTCGGAATCATCAACACTGCCACTCTTTTTACGTGCCTGCCATGAATTGTTAGTCGCGATCCTACTCGAACAACGCAAGGCGCGGTAACGAGACCTACAAATCGGAGGGTTCCATCTCGCATCACGTTGTGGGACACATTCACCGGGGAGCAAATGAAGGTGTGGGACAAGCTCGATCAGCATCCCCATTTCTTGACTGAAAAGCTCTTCCCCTCCCTACATCAGCTCGACTACGTCCGCCAATTTATCAGCCCAATTTCCTCAGAGTGGGATCTTCGGTACTATGAACGGGAAACGGTAGAAAATCAAGTGCGGGCCATAATAGACCGAATATATGAGAATGATGAGCTTAAGAGGGCATTCGGCTTGCGCGGATCGATTACCTTTGAAAGCCATGCTAACCTTGGGCTTTCAACGCGGGCGGCTGATTTGAACCCGGGTGATCAGCAGTCGTCCGTTGAACCCATGGTCGGGACTGAATCAAGCACTGGAAAGAGAATGGGCAAGAAGAATAAAACAAAGAAAAAAGAGACCACGATGGTCACGGGAGGACAGGCAGATCGATTCTGCATCTATCGCCAGGATGGCGATGAGCACATCCCAACGCTCGCTATCGAGTACAAGGCGCCCCACAAGCTCACTCGGGATGAAATCGTGGGAGGGCTGGCTCAGGACATTCATCCTTCGAAAGAAGTAATTGGTAAGGACTTAGATGATCCTGATTTCTGCTCGAAGGGGTTAGTCGCTGCGGTCATCACACAGTTGTTCTCCTACATGGTTGCCAAGGGAGTCCGGTACGGCTATGTGTGCACCGGAGAAGACTTTATCTTTCTACGCATTCTTGACGATCCGTCATCCGTCATGTGTTCCGTCTGTACTCCCAGCCTAGATGTTGAAGAAATCAACGATGACAGTCTCCATTTAACTGCCGTCGCTCAGGTTCTAGCATTTACCTTAAGAGCTCTAGTGTCCCCTCCTGCCCCGCAAGAATGGTATGATGCCGTCGCGGAACTTGGCATCTGGCCGGTTGAATACTCGGATATCCTGGAGCAAACACCTCCAACCGCTCGACAGAAGCATGCCTCACCTCTGTATCGGGGCCGACGCCCTTCCAAGCTTCCTCCTTTTCAGATGACATTACGACCCAGATGCCGGCCACACACAGATATTGTACCTCGATCAAGAAGCCCTTCCCCCTCAACGTCTCCGCCTCCATCTCCGTTGTCGCCATCCGCACGCCGTGGACGAACCGTAAACGCTCGAGCCCGCTCTAACCCGGATCAAAAATCTGGTAAGAAAGGGCAATCCAGCGAAGACAGCGATGCCAATTGGATAGACCATGCTGCTGAACCACCAAAGATCAAAAGCCAACCTTACTGTTCCCAGCAGTGTTTGCTGGCCCTACGAGACGATGGTCCGCTCGACAGCTCCTGCCCGAACTATCTAGCTCACCTTAAGCGACGGATCCAGCCAGCGGAGTTTCGTGCTCTTATCCGAGAGCAGCTCTCCAGGGACCGTGGCCCGGATGCCAACTGTCGCCCTCTCTACAAGAAGGGAAGTTGTGGGGCAGCTTTTAAAATCCATCTTTTGTCGCATGGCTACACTCTACTCGCAAAGGGCGTCGAACGCAACAATTTACGTAAACTCGAACATGAAAACGAAGTATACCATAGGCTTCACGATATTCAAGGCAACTACATTCCGGTTTGCCTCGGGATTGTTGTACTTGACCCAAAATACCCGTATTACTATGACGAGGGAGTTTATACCCATATGCTCCTTCTGAGCTGGGCGGGAAAGCCCATCTCGGAAATTATGAAATCGGATAATTCGGCATGCGTGATTGAGATGACATCACAGTCTCTTCAAGCGATTCACCTTGCAGGTGTATTGCACGGTGATGTCGAGCCACGAAATATTTTATGGAATGAGGACTGCAATCGCCCTATGCTTGTAGATTTTGAACGAGCTGAGATGCGAAATGCGCTATCTGCTATATCGCCGAACCTCGGGCTAAAGAGGAGAAGGCTTGGGAAGAACAGATCTACCTTTTCTCAAGAACTTTCAAAAGCTCAGATCAGCCTGAAGCGCTGTAGGGAATTGCTCCGTCGGAATTCCGCCTCAAAGTTCAGGAATAGCGCCATGGAACTCAGTTGGACAACTATGCACGAAGAGCCGCTACAATAATGATTATTAGAAAACATTCCAGAGCGTGAAGGAGCGGGCCCACAAGATTATCCTGTTTGAAAAGCTGGTAACTAGTGCATGTTTAAAGATTTTAATATCATTGGACTTTCAAACCTAATCTCATGGAACATAACCTCTAAGGACCTTCCCGATAATCTTCACAATGTATGGCTTCTATCTCTAGCCCATTCAAAGCCATCTTCCCCAGACCCCGTAGTAATAAATTGAGAGTTCTTTTTGTAGTAACTGTCAAGTCCTATCTCTTACTTTATGCAGGGGTAGGTTTGTAGCATACAGATGGTGTGCGATTAACTGAAGTTGTAAGGGAAGAAAAATTAGGTTGGTTTGCTCATATTATGTGATGGGAAGCAAACACGGAATAAAAATGTAGAATTGCTAGGAAGTTATAATATATGATACTTGCGAGAGAAGATAGCTAGATGCTGATAATATAATCAAAGGTCAAAGGGTTGATCCGGCTTGGCTTCGCATTAGGTATTAGTAATCACTGTACTTAAGCTCAAGCCAGCACGGTAGGTGCCGTTTTGGGTTATCAAACATCACGAACTACTCCCTTGTGGTGCTCATTGGACATAGGTCATATCATATGGTTACTGATTGACATGATTTCCAGTTGGAAACGATACTGGCAAATAAGACTTTTTTTGTAATTAGTGGCTATGTAGATTGGAATCGGCGATATCGTCATAATTATCTCTTTCTGCCCATTCAAACAAAGCTCTATCAATTACACCATATCGCATAACATTTTTAATGAAAAAAAAAAAAAAAAAAAAAAAAAAAAAAAACTAATCATGGGACCCTTTCAACCACCTTGAGGTTTAACCGTCCATATAAAGGACACTGATGTAGTTCACTCGGTGGCTACGTTCAGGGGCGGCACTTGTCGGCTGGCTGTGCGCTCTTGCCTGTGCCTCCCGGTTTTCCGCTTGTCTTCGCAACTCGACTTCCTGTCGTTCTCGATATGCTAAATTTAGATGCGACATTTTGCAAGGCGATAATTCTTGAAGTGGTGAACAATTCTTGCCTAAAAAAACACGGATCAGCGTTTGTCCGCGGTATACATCACAAGACGCAGCCAAGACAACCAGATTTGCTGCCAGACGGTTATTATTTAACTACGTGAATGTTATTACTGCATCCAATGAGCGCCAAGTGCAATGCCCCTCCAAAAATGATTTCTTTTTTCTCTCTGAGCCGAATGAACCCCTCATCTCGAATTTGACACTGTAAATAATCACCGTAGAAATGGACGCTATGAGATGTGAATTAATGCTTTTCATAGTTAACCTCACCGCTAGTATTTGACGCTCCATATATAAAGAAATCCTGTAAATTTGCGAACGGTAGGGAAGAGCCAACAGGTTGCAAGAGCAAGGTTGTTGTGTAAAGCTGAGAGTGCCACCTAACTATGTCATGCGATTGGCGGGGTTAGGAAAACATAAACAACCTCTTCGAATACTCGGAATCGCAGACTCCTACATTACGTCCCGCATCTATCTTCCAAGCAACATGCCGACCGAAACGAAGAAGAACTTGGATGTCAATCCCTTGCCTCCAGAATGCGAAAGCGAACTTAAATATTTAAAACAACATGCGGATAAAATCACTGAATGGCGAGCGACACCTGATACTCCGAAGGAAAGCATGGAGGCTCTGGACGTTTCGAAGATTAAAACCATACTACATGCAGCTAAGGCAGATGTGAGTGTGATATTATCTTAAATGGGTGAATATGGTAACTACTGATGTGTATGGCAGCCCTCAAAATCCAAACTTTTGAGAATAGGTGATCACACTCGGTTTTGGGCTAAGGTCCCTATGCGCCTCATTCCTATATCAAATGACCTTATGATATCCGATACTCCCGATGAAAACTCAATAATAACCGTTCCAGTTGGGAAAATTGTAGATGTCACAGAAATTATTTCCTATATACACACCTGTGTTGACTTACTCACAATTAAAGAAATGATAGGGGGGGGATAACAACAAGGCATAGGGAACGGGATGAATGGGATATTTGCATCAAATGATCCGGACTTAGAATTCTGTTATGTATTACAGTGTTTGTGTTTGCCTCCTCTTCTGCTTATCATATATTTGTATATATTTGGAAATAACCTTAGTTCATCTACCTGCAACAGGTAGCATAAGTTCAACACGCGCCTCACTAAAAACCTGCCTAGAACCCTGATGGTTGTGCATTCAGACCGCCACAATAGGGGAAGAATTGTGGCAACACCTGACGGAAACCCATGCTATCATTTGGGCTTGTTTCTGAAGCCAACACATTTTGCCATAGCCCGTTTGTCGGGTGCTGTGTGTCAGGGTCAAAAAACCCGTCTTGCCAAAGCCCATTTGTCATATCCTGTGTGTCTGGGTCAAAGACCACATTATGCCATGTTGGAATGTTTGTGGTTGTTTCCCCGTTATAAAATAAATTCGAGGTTGTGGCTGGATGTGGAGGGCGGGATTCATTCGCATTAAGGGTGGTAGGATCGTTGGTCGAAGTGTGATCTAAAGCATGTTAGTGCTCAGAGGAGCAAAGAAACTGGGTTTGAAATTCTACCTTTAGAAAGATCGGATGAGTGAATAGTACCATCGTCCTCCCATCTCACTAAATCCTGTCTGGATATATCGTCGATCGGGCGAGGGACATGCGATGGAACATCTATATAATTCTCGGCCAGGCCATTTGCGTTAACTGCTAACTGTATTAGCTTAGGGACTTCATCTATAAGCAGAACTACTTTGTTCTGGCGGTGTAACCCGCTCCTCCGATGGTGCTGCCGAATAACATCTTCCCTCCGACGCTGAATGAGAGCATGATTGGATGGAAGGAACCGAGAGATCTTCGTGGTGATGAAGAAGGGTTCCGGTAAACTGGTCGCTTGACGTACCTTGAGGACACTCTCTCGTGGCATTTCGCACGCTCATTTCTCCCACCTGCTGCGAGCTAGGTGGATCGGATGTTGGTTGCGTCTGTTGTTGAAATTGTTGAAGCATTTGGGCAGCCTCTCGCTCTTCCAACGAGAGTTCCACGGTAGGGCTTAGCCGCCAACCATTATGCACTTGCTTCGAAAAAGAATCATTGTGGCATTCAACGGCACCCGCGCCACCAGGATCGCTGTAATACGGCGAGTTATCAGTGGATTCAGATATTGAGCTCGATGAGGATATGCTGCGTCTGTTTTCTATTTGGTTTGAGGTCCCCGGGTGGTCAACGGACATTTGATGTGCAGGATCGTTGATCGAAATTTGATCTAAACATGTCAGGGTCTGCAGAGAAGTGAAGCAGGTTTGAAATCCTACCTTCAGGAATTTGGTGGATAGTACCATCATCTCCCCAGGTCATCTCCAATTGCGTTTGTAAATTTGCACCCGGGTCAGCCAGTGTCTGAGAGGCTGGGTTGTGGTTTGTATGCTGCTTTCGCGGCGCAGAACCCTGCCCGGAAATAGCTGGACGTGCTTCTACGTAACAGCATTAGCTGGGGGCCAAGGCATAGTCTCTATTACGTACCTTGGACGCTTTCCGATGGTATGTGCCCACCACTCGGCTGGGTAGCTTGTTCGTTTCGCCCATCGCATCTTCGTTTACCAGAAGACTTCTCTGGGTAAGACGTTGTCCGCTTCCGTGGCAAGTGGTTCCCTTCCCGAGTTCCACCCTGCTCGCGGATTGTTGCTGTGAACGCTTCTTCGGGTTGATCTCGAACTGTGAGCGAAGCACGGTGATGATATTCTTCAAGTATCTTTGAATACGCGGTCGAGAGTAAACGTTCTTCCTTCCATGCCCTAAGAACTTTAAGGTATGCATTCATCGCCTTGATTTCTATCGGCTGCCATCGCCTCCCCTCGAAGCTAAAGGTCTTCTCAGCTGGGCAGAACCACTCTCTCTGAGAGGAATAACGAACCTTTTAACAGTGGCGCCTTGCAGTGCGAGAACCATCCAGCGAGGTACAATCTGGGCCCATTTGCTTCCACTAGCGGATTGCCTTTTCAGCTTCCGGCGCTCCTTGGGAGACCCGGAGCCCTCCAAAATATCGGAGTACACTTCGGAGATGACTTTTTGCGGTCTTGCTGGGTCGACGGTCACATCGTGAGTTTTCTTTCTCTTTGAGCGCCGCCGGTGTTCCACCTCTTGTACAATTGCGTCGAACATGACAATGAGATCGACTTTTTGTCGTGTGGGATTGACATTTTCGATCTGCTCGATGTCATTAGAGCAAAATTGAATAAGCCCAAGCGTACCGGTGCGATCGGTCTTCCTGGTGTCAAAAAAAAGCCAAGGTTGGGACGCCCATATCAGTGCGGATTCCCTGAGCGCTTCAAGGTCGTCATCATTGAGCTCCCAACCTTTTGTGACAGCAGCAAGTCCAGCGACTTGCTTCTCAGATAAGCTCTGCTTTTCCCATTGTTGGAAAAAGGTATGTCTTGTCGTTAGCTGGTGAACTTCGTCCTGGCGATTTATCTCTGCTGCAACCGCTTTGAAAAGTGACTCCTTGCGATCTGGAGAATTGCATATGGCTTTCAGAGAATTCCCAATGGTCTAGGTCCAACTATGTCAGATTATGGAGAATGGAACCAGTGAGGGGAAACGCACCACGCTACCCAAGCCGCAGATGATATCCCCAAGTTCATGGAGCTTCGGTTTCAACGCCGGATCGTGAGAGGCCTGCTATTTTTGCGCTGGACTTCTCATGTTGTAGTCACGATATTCTGAAGAATAGGGGACATTTCCCCTAAGAATGACATCCGGCATGACCAGGCCACGATGTTCTAAAGAATAAGGGATATGTCCCGCCACGATGTTTTAAGTCTAGGGTATATTTCCCTGAAGATTGGCCTCAGATTGGGTAAGTCTGTGCTTAACCTCAACTCCTGTCGCCTGTCCTCTTCCTGCCTCGATCGATGGAAGCTATAAACACCACGCGATGACTGTCAAATCATGTATGCTAACCAAATCGCACAAAACGCCAAAAGGTGAAAATGCAAAATTACAAAGCTGCAAAAATTGCCTTTTCGCACGAGTGCAGACATACAAGCCCACCACGGCTTTGTGCTGGGCCTTGCTAGGCTTTAACCGCCGAAGGTGGGCCATAAATGACGTCACTTCCAGCCGTCCCTGAGATACCACGCCAAGCGGTGATCCCCCCAAAAGCTGTGCCCGTCGATTGATTGATTGATTGATTGATTGATTGATTGGATCAGCTACCCTGACCTCTCCCTCATCGGGATATGCAGGCTACCACTATTACAGCTACTCTCATCTATCCTTTCAAGTCTAATTACATGCACGATCTTAATGCCTCGTCGGGGCCAGTGAGTGATCTACTCTAGTGTCTCTGCCTGGAATCTTCCGAGC